GCAAGATAAAAATTAAATATATATATATATCAGAAATTAGGGAAACAAAATCCGTGCTTTTGTTTATATGTATATATAAATTCATAGAGAAACATTAGATTAGAATTTAACTTTTACGGCAGATGAAATAGGAACAACATATAAACAAAGGATATACAAACAGTACACTTTCGAAATGCATCTGTAAATTAGCTTGTTATGTATAGGGATGGTGGGTGGTGAATAATGAAATGCTTCAAGGAGAGTATAATGTAAATATATTGGCTGGGGAACTAGCAGTTCTAAAAACTTTTCCAAGCCTGTCCGTAGGTCTCCCAGTACTTAGTTGGTCTCTGGTGGGCAAAGGATATTGAGCTATCTGGATCCAGCCGGCCAGCTCGTATCATTGAATACTAGAAACGAGGGCTGGAGACCCCAGATAATACCTATAGGATTCCTCACCCAGCTGCAAGCTTGTTGCTGTTCCTATCTCTGAGCAGTGATCAGAGATACAAGAGTATTTAAAGCCCAGGCAGATATGGGACTGTTCCTGGAACTAAGATATGTTTGGAAACCCAGGAAGCTGCTTCCCTCAGTCTTGTATATGGGTAAAAGGCATTGACCAAAATCCTGTTGTGCAGCTATGTGTATATAACATGAAACTATAAAACTGGTAGGGGAAAAAAAACAGAGCAAGGTGGAAATGATAATCCGTGAAGCACTTCTGTAGGTGCGTCATAAACTATCTGTAATAGGAACCACATGTTTCATTGCACAACCATGAACCATGCAATCAATTGCATAATGCTGTTGCCCTGAACATAGTGCTGGCACCAATCTGCAGGTGCAACTTCCAGCAGGATTTCAGCCATTGAGTTGAGTTGTACTTTGCATGCCAGAAGGCGTGGTATTGAAACCTGCTCCAGAACAGACAGGCATAGAACCAAGCCATGCTTTGTAGCTTATCAAATTGGTAAGTATTACAGTATGTCTAGCCCAACCTATTTTTGTTTTAGCCTAGCCACTGCTAGCAGTCCTATACAACTTCCCAACTTGAACTTCATTTCCTGAGCTGAAAAAGGGTTCCAACAACTGTGGGTTCTCTAATGATTTCTGAAAATGATTCAGATCTGATTCTGCAATTTCTTGCAGAAAAACCAGGAAGAATATGCAAGGAATGCACCTAATATGTAAGTTCAACTCCAAAGTGTATTTAGGAGGCTGTATAGAATCCCATTCAGATTTTTTTAAAAGAAGAAACTGTTTATTTGTAGGGAAAGAAGGTTAAAAATAAAGCAGATGAGAGGTAATGTTCTACCAACAACAACAAATAGACAAATGGCATAAAATCCTTCCAGTTCTGTGTCACTGGCATATCTCTTGGCCATGAAATTTAATTGCATGTACTACTGTGGGCCATGAAAGATAAGGTAGAATTAGATAAATAAGCATGACCTTTCTCCTCATTGTTCTGAAAGCAGTGATGAAAATAAATCTGAGGGAATGGAATAGCATTCCATGCTGTTATTACTGGCCCATGCTCAACATCAATAGTTCGTTTCACAAGGAATGTCATAGGCAGTTAATAATAATCGTCTTAGAACTGCAGGAAGAAAGGAACATTGTGGGTCATAGCCTGGGTCCAGCCCCTCTCAGGGAGGCACAGTGGGGAACTGAACTCCTCTGCCTCCACAACCAGAGACCTAAACCACTGAGCTATCTAGCAAATTAGGGCTCACAAGAGACAAGCCCTTTCAAAATATCTGTTTGCAGGAAGAGAGCTCAACCATGAAATATGCCAAGTGCTTTAAAGGAGATAATGCCTCTTGAGTCTGATTACCCAATCCTTCACAAGTAGAGGTCACCAGAGACTTTTGGTAACTTCTGTATCCCAGGTGTAGAGGAAATAATGCAAATCATGACACTGAATTGCCTCTCCTTATGCTTGCATTCCTAGCCATGTGCCAGTTGTGATTTACACAATTATATTTATGCTGATCTAAATCCACAGTAAGTTTCTGACTAATATACAGAAGAAACTATGCCGAACTGCATCCCATGGGACTGAAAAGTGGGAGAGAAACAATAATACCAAGCTTCTCAAAGGGGGCGGGGGGGGAATGTCATGACAGGCAAAGAAGAAAGGCACAGAGGACATGGGAGCTAGATGGTAGCAAAGCAAAAGCATTGATGAGTGGACATGAAGGGGGCAACAGATCCACCACAGCCTAACTGCATTTCCAATTTTTTAAAAAAACTAAAAAAAAACCATGTTAAAATATATGCAGTTCAATATTTATGAAAAATGCAATGTGTGTACACACACACACATGTATATATATTGAACTACATATATTTTAACATGTTTTTTTAATTTTTTTAAATATATAATAGAAGCTTACTTTTTTCTGGAAAATGTCTCTTTTCTTTATATTCAGGTGTTATTTTTATCCAGGAGGTCCTGCCACTGTTGTATTCTTTCTTCTTTTCTATATACTTCTCTTGTGATGCCTGATTCCAGTGAGGATAATGTCTCCTCTGAGGCCTGAGCCAGGTTGATTCGCTCTTTTCTTCCAGCCAGCAGTTGGATTCTCTCAGCTTATTATATTCTACTAAGAGCTTTTTTTCATCTGCAGCCATGGTTAGTCAAGCAGACTTCTCTGTAAAGTGAGATAAATTGCTGCTTTTGCCAAACAAACAAAGCAAAACAGGCCTCATGTCCTCAAAGGCGCTTCATTACTCTGAAAAGAGGCAATATAATCCTACCTGGTTGCTATGGAAATGAAACCTAAGCTATACTCTCTTGCTAGAGAAGATGTGTGAATTGACCTGGAAAGCAACCATTCCCGGAGGCAGAGGATGATGGGACTTTGGGGCCATTATGGCAGCCCTGCTTGAACGGCCAGCTCCTCCAAGTTGCTCCATCAATACATCACCATTCCCAGTTGTGACCACACACTTCTGTAGTGTGAAGCAGAGCCATTCTACGAATCCTGCTAGAACACTAGTTCGTTCAGCCACTTCCAGAGCTTGGAACCATCAGCATTTAACCTAATACATTAAAACTGGGGATTGAACATTATTTCTACTTACATGCGTGTGCTTGCTTTTTGGCATTTCCACAAGAACATACAGTATTCACTACCCAATTGCACACGTGGCAGCCCCATTGTTTTCAAGGGGTTGCTGTCTGGCTCTCTGTAACTGAAAGCCAGAGATCATGCGATGCATTCCACTTGTGAAGTCACTATACTACACAAGTGGTAAAAGTATGATGCCTCATTTTCTTCTATACTAAATAACCCACAATATTATGTTTCCTCATGTGGGGAAATGTACTCATTCCCTAGTTCATTTTAGGTGTCCTTACCTGCACCTTTCTGAGCTCTATAAACACCCTCTTTACAATATTGTAAAAGTGGTTTTAATTCCTTTCCTAATGTTCTCCAATGTGGAATTTGCCCTATTCACAGTATGGGCACAGCTGGGCACTGGGTTAAAAGTTTAATTTAGAATCCACCTTAACTCATGATGATGATGATGATGCCACATTTCTCCCAACAAGGGACCCAAAGCGGCTCACATTAAAATTCACACAATTTAAAAACACAATAAATTAAATATTAAAAGATAAATTCAACAATATATGATTTAAAATACAATTAAAAAATTAAAACATGAAAACATAAAAAATATTAGTTCAGCTCCTGTCAGCATATGGGTTTAAAGTTAGGGTTCTTTGCCCCAACTTCCACCATTTTAACATTTACGAATGAATGGCCCCTGCCATTTTAATGCCCTTTTCTTCAGTTTAGAGAGATGTATACCTATCCATTTTTCTTTCACCTCTTAATTCTTAAATCGTTTAATAAGCCTCACCACCTTAAAACCAGCTTATTTATGAACAAGTTATTTTGATTTGTATTTTTCCAATTCAGATCTTTGTGGAGATCACGATATTTACATCTCTTTATTTTCTCCTACTCTCTGCTTTCTTTTTCAATCCATTAAAATTTTTATTATCCCACGACTGTAAGCTTGCTCAGGAGCTATCGGTGAAGGTTTTGTCCAAACCTGTTTTTAGGTCTAAGTACACACGGTCTACTGGATCACCCTTTCCCATATTTTTGTTGATACATACCTTGTAGTGCCTGTTTTTGGAACACAGGTGGATTGGATTTACATGTTGGAGTTTATCAGCCAATGGAGAGCTTGAGAATCTTGGGAGATTCTAACAGGGCTTATCAACTGCCAATTCAAATCATCACCAGTATTAAGTCTTTTATTTGCTTGCCCAACCTTCTCTCCCCCCCCCCCGTTTCTCTGCTTTTTAAAAGGTAAGATTGAGGTTTCTCTAAAAATAGTGATGTACTATAAAACAAGGGGAAATGTTCTCATAAAACACTTTAAATGCAAGGTGGTTAAATTCTTAACAGAAGTCACGCAAATGAAATAGAACTATTATGAGGCAAGACAGTTATAGACTGAAATTCAGAAAAAGATTTGCAGTGGATTCCTTGTGTAGCAGACTAGTATCTCTTCAGGGCATTGATTATAAAACCTTCAGCTTAATTCTACCAACAACTCACTAAGGTACTTCAACAGTAACAAGGTCTACTTCCTGAAGAGGCTTTTATTGTGCAATTACTGGGCCTCAAACACAGAAAGTTTGATAGGTGTGTCCAGAGAAAAGTTTAGAAATAAAGAGTGGGGATAGAGGCCAAGAAATGAGGCTGCAGTGAAGTTACATCTCAAAAGTAGTTTGATTAGGGAAAACAAAATTTATTGATGCAACAAGTAATATTTTCTAATGACTTTGGCATTTGACAGTACTCTTTTCATGCTGTTCTCACATCAATCCTGAGAGTCCCCTCCCCTCGTTAAAGTAATGAAAAGAACAAGTAATGTAACAATATACTTTTCAAACATTGTAATGAGTAACAATAACATTTCCCCCCTCAAACATTGTAACAAATTATATGAACAAATTACTTTCAAAAATGGCATTTACTGTATTAAGCTGTGGTCCAGGTGTCATTTTATATTTAGAACTGCCCTGTGTTTCTCCATCACTTCCTCCATCTTTTTTCTTCCTACCAAAGAGTGGAAGAAAAAAGATGGTCAGCATTCTCGTCTGTACAAGAAGCAAGCTGCTGTTCAGAACTACAAGCATCAGCATGATCAGGCCTGCTGCTGGTAAAAAAGTGAGAAATCAAATTAAAACATTCCATGATTGTGTTTTTTGGACATATCAGCAGTTAAAGATTGCGGGCAGCATCACCCACTTCCACGTGGACGCTCGCAGAGCTGGAAAGGGATGAAAGGAGATTCCCCACCGGCCCCACCCCTCCCGCCGTAGCAAAAAAGGAAGACGTCCGTGATGGCTAAGCCACGCCTCTTTTCCATCCCGTAACGTCCGATAGCGCGGCAATCGCTTCGCCCTCTGATTGGTTGAGCACCGGCAGCGCGAGGAGCTGCTTCTGCGCATTCGGCCGCCGGTCCCTCGTAATTAAAGCGAGCGGGGAGTTGAGGCGTGGAGAGAGGGTTTTTTTTGTGACTGCTTCGTTGCCATTAAAAAAAAAAAGCTCCACGTATTTTATTTTGCCTTCAGAGGGGCAGGAGAGGGGGAGCGGAAAGGAAGGGAGGAAAGTGGGCGAGAGGTGGGCGGAAAGAAAGCCTCCGGCGTCGAGGGTGTGGGAGGGGAAGCACCAGGTGAGGGAAACCTGAGGTAAGGTCAGAGGCTCCGGGCTGTGTGGTGTGTGTGCGTATGTGAACCGGACGGGGATGACCTTGGCGAACTGAGAGGCAAGGGAAGAGTCCGCTCCGGTGGTGAGAAGGCTGGAAGTGCAGGTGGAGGGAAAGAGCCTCGCCGCGAGGATGTATGTGGGGGGGATGTGGGGCTGAGGGGAAAGGTTAGGAGTTGCCCCCCCCCCCGGTGTGTGTGTATGTGTCTAGGTGGGGAAGGCTCCAGGCTGCCGGTATCTCTGAAGGAGAGGAGAGGAAACGGGGCGGTGGTGTCTCTGTGGGGGAGGGAAGAAGCCGTCGTGCAGAAAGGTGGGGGGCGTGAGGGGGAAGGGGTCTTTTGAGTTCGGTGCCTTGAAAGGGATCGAGCAGTCTTCCCCCCTCCCCGCTTTGTGAGGGGAGGGTGACCCCAGTGAGAGGATGGGTGGGGAGGGAGCCGATGTGGTGGAGCCAAGGGAAGGGGGTGGGGAGGAAGAGGGCGGCGAGATTGGGGAGGTAGCGCCTGCGCCCCCCCTCCAGCAGAACGGGTGCCTCCCAGGCAAAGAGTCGGATCACAGCAGCGTCTGCACACCTTTGGTCGCTGTAGTGAGTGATGTGGAGGCTGGAAGAAGGGACACCTCCTTTCCTAATCTGGAGGAGCATCCCGAGGTGGAGGCTATGCTGTCCCCTTCAACATCGGGAATGAAGCTGACCCCTCGGCTGTCCAAGCGCAGGCTAGTGGTGCTGGCCATCTTCAGCTTGTACTCGCTGGTGAATGCCTTCCAGTGGATCCAGTATAGTATATTGACAAGCATCTTTACGCAGTACTATGGTGTCCTCAACTCTCAGATCGATTGGCTCTCCATGGCATATATGGTGGCATATGTTCCTCTCATTTTCCCTGCCACTTGGCTGCTGGACATTCGTGGTCTTCGCCTCACTGCCTTGCTCGGATCTGGACTCAATTGCTTGGGTGCCTGGATCAAGTGTGCCAGCGTCCAGCGAAACTTATATCCAGTCACCTTGCTTGCTCAGATTGTATGTTCTGTAGCTCAGGTTTTTATTTTGGGGCTACCCTCCCGCATTGCCTCTGTCTGGTTTGGACCAAAGGAAGTATCCACAGCTTGTGCTGTAGCTGTTCTGGGTAACCAGGTGAGGAAATGAAGGGTTGATGATGCTTGGGTTAGGGAGGGATGCTTATGTTGGGATAATGCTAGTACTTGAATTTTCCATTTTGCTGACAGATAATTTTATTTGATCGTTACCTCTCAGAAACAGCCTGAGAGTTTCTGTGGGTATTCAGCTGGCAAATGTAAGTAAAATATAAGAAAAGGTTATTCTTTGAATGGAATTGTCATTTCAGAAACAGTAAATGGAAATTTAAAATCAGTAGCTCCTACTAATGAGAAGAAAAATATATTTGGAGTAAGGTTTGTGTAAAAGGGACAAAAATATTTGCCCGGGGAGAAAGTGTAACAACGTCTTGTGTATTGCATGGTTGGTGGTTAATTACAGCAAGAATAATTATTATATGTTGTCAAGTCAATTCTGTCATAGCAACTCTTTCCAGATTTTTCTGGATATAGACTACTCACAACTGGTTTACGATTCCTTCATTCTGGGGGCACTCTGAGATTGTACAGCTTGCCCAAGACTTCACAGGCTAGCTTTTCTCCCAGGAGCACAGTGAAGAAGACCTGTGATTCTACAGTTAAATACCTAAATCACAGATCCTTCCAGCCAGCCATATTACTGCAGACCCTTGTCTATACTGGTGTTTAAATTACCTTTCTCTTTTGAGAAGGTTAATCTTAATTTTCATACTCTGTCTATCACACAGTCTAGCATCCTTTTAGAGGCTTAAATAGTTCCAAAAGAAAAACAAACAAAAAACTGAAAGACCAAAAGATTATGCTATTATTTGAAATAATTGTTATGCTGGAAGGCAGTTCTGAAATGTTTACATTAAATCATGTGCTTCCTTTAATTTCTCTGAGATACAACTTTGAAAGAAGTGTTCTGGCACAAGGTAATTAGATGTATAGAGACACTGACTAATCAAAAAATAGATATCAATGAAACATTATTGTTATTTTCCTTATTCACAGGGGGAAATGAGAAACTAGAAAATAAAGAATTAGTTGCAAATCTTATAGGCACCACAAGATCTGAAATTGCTAGAAATTGGAAAAAAGCCCAAGATCTCTCATTACAAGCATTTACGAATAAGATATGGCATACGATGTTGATGGAAAAAATGACTAATAGTTAGATTACATAGAGGACAAATAAGACACAATCAATTCACTGAAAATTGGAAGCCTTTATTAAAATACGCCAACAAAATAAATTTCGAGACATGTCATTTGGAAAAGAATTTGGAGCATTTAGATTGTTGATTGATATTTCTTTAAAATGTGACGGGGAATTGCATAAATGTGATTTGGAGAATTGTGGGGAATAGCTTTGTATTTATTTGTAATATGATGGATTGTCTTTTCATTTCTTTAGAAATAAAAAAATTAAATAAAAACAAACAAACAAAAAGAGATACAACTTTGAACACATCTCCAGCCTCAGAACTTCAATTACAGAATTGAAACTGCAGGATCAATAAAATTGTGCTAGTATATTTCAGGATCTGTTATTTTTCATAAATACTGTATTTGATACAACAGTAGAACTGTGGCGGATTGGTTCCAAGCCCAGTCCCCCCAATGCCAAAAAAGATAGAAATATTGAATGCTGTACATCGGATGGCCTATCGCTCCATCTAGTGTCCAGTTCTGGTAATTACACCCTGGAAACACATATAAATACTGTATGTGTTTCTTGGTTTTTAAATTTAGTACAGCAGGACCTCCGTATCCACAGGAGATTGGTTCCAAGGCCCTCCCACAGATGCTAAAAGCCAGTTCTGGTAATTACACCTTTAGAAATATCTATTTCTAGAATTTTTCTTTTAATATTTGTAATATTTCTAGACCATGGATAAGTGAATCAGCGGATACTGATCTGATAGATTGGAGGATCCTCTTATATGTCATCTGTAGACAGTTAGAGAATCAGCAGCTGGACAAAATGCATATACCATTCCAGTGTCTTCTGCTGTTGACATACTGTAAATGTGATCTGTATTTATTCAAGAACATTGGATTATTTAAATATATTCCAAACATGTGCATTAATATCTGTTTCCTTTCAAGATGACGAATGGATGCTTTCTATTCATACATTTCTTTTTATTGTTATGTTATATGCTCTTTCCATTTCTAAAACTTGTTCTTACATAGATCTGTTTTACAGCTAGGAACAGCAATTGGCTTTTTATTGCCACCAGTCTTAGTTCCAAACACACCTGATGACATGGATCTCATGGGACATAACATTCGCATAATGTTCTATGGCACAGCAGCAGTATCCACGTTCCTGTTTATACTAGTAGCACTTGGTAAGTGTAATATATCTGTAGTTTAATGTAAATAAATGTGTTTAAACAATATAAAGCAAAGTAGAGCATGCTGCTTATATATCACCCCATAACACTTAAAGCACTCTCTGGGCAGTTTACAGGCTAATTATGTAGGCTACACATTGTTGTCATCCCCCCGCCATGAGCTGGGTACTCATTTTACCAACCTCAGAAAGATAGAAGGCTGAGTTAATCTTGAGCCGGCTACCTGGGATTGAACCCTGGGTCGTGAGCACAGTTTTGGCTACAGTACAACAGTTTAACCACTGTGCCACAAGGTTCGTTTATATAATTCTAATTCATAAACTTTGGAATTCTGAAGGAAAGACAGGGTCAACCTGTTTTAAACTTAGGTTTCTTATTTACACTGAAAAAAGTTAAAATTGCAAGAGATCAAATCTTTTCCTGTACATTGAACATTGTAAAATTTGTATTTGGAAAATGTTTTGGCTTATTTTTAAAGTTTGTAGCAGATTTTATTTACAATTCATGTCCCAAAAGTTCATTGCTATAGAGATACATTGCTATAGGCGCTTCACATTTTTCCTTTATTTCATTAACTGTTTGGACAGTTCCTCTTAGACCACATATTTGAAAATATTTACATTGATTATTTCCCTATCTTATACTTCATTGACTTCTAAACTGCATTTTGGTGATTCCTAAGTTCTTCAGAATCTTAGTCACAGTATTTCAGTCCATGGTGCAACTGAGCATAGTAGCAGTTTTTCAACATATCAGGCAAAAATAAATAAATAAAAATTAAAAATAACACAAAAGAAGAAGAAAACAGAAACATTAGGCACCTTAAAAACTAGCTGCTATATTTTAATGTGAGCTTTCATGGACAAGTCCAGTTTCTCAGATATAAGAGGCGTAAGTTATTCAACAGTCCAAACTATACTGCTACACATCATGGAAACAGGAAGAAGGTGAAGTATAGAGAAGATTATACAGAAGAATTTTGCACCAAAGAAGAATTGGATTTAAATCAAAATATGTAGAAAGGAGATAGCAGATAAAAATATGCAATCATTCTTATTAATTGCATTTATACTCTACTTTTTTTACAATGATTTCAATGTAGTATGTCATTTTCCTTCTCCCCATTTTATATTAAGGAAAATAATAAATCGTAGAACAAAGTATGGAAATTAGCTATGAGTGACATTACAGTTACTAAGAAGTGAAACCCTGAAGCAACATCCTGGCAGTTCCAGTGTAGTAACTACTGTATGAGTTTTGGATACAATGAAGAGAAGCCTCCATGGCACTTGACAGTAGAAGGAATCTGAGAAGAGGCAAAACCCAAAATGAAATGACACGAAGAATGGGGAAACAAAAAGAACTGTTGCCAGTTGGAAAAATGCAGACGAGCACCTGGACTGTGTGTGGTTTTGTTGCATGATCCTTTTACTGTTAGAGAAGAATAGCAGTGATAGTTACCCCTGCTTTTTCTTTGTTGGAAACCTCATGCAAGTGATTTTGACATTCTGAAGTCATAGACTAGGAGAATAATTGTGAGGGACAAATAGGCAAAAGCAGTTCACTGAAACAAGTGTTAGGTTATACAATTTTTGCACCTGGCACAGTAATTCTTGTCCTTCTGCTCATTTGTCACAGGTGGACACTGAGCAGGCTATGTTATTAATAAGTGTATGCAAAGAGTGATCTTACAATGAAAAGATACGTCATGTATCTCAGTGTAATTTTATCTCTCTGTGTTCTGATAGAGATTAATATACAGTGCCAATTGTTGAATAACAATTATAGCAAAATTAACATTTATGTATCTTCTTCCTAGTATTTAAGGAAAAACCTAAGCATCCTCCAAGTCAGTCTCAGGCTGTTCTCCTGGAGGCATCCACAGAAAATTACTCCTACAAGCAGTCAATTATCAACCTTTTTGGAAATCTTCCTTTTGTTCTCCTCCTGATAAGTTATGGTGAGTACTGTTTCAGTCTTTGTCTTGTTAGGAATTCAGAATAGGAGATTGAACCTAGCTGTCTGTAAGGTTACCCCTAGCACTCTTGTCCATTGACTGGTTGAAATCCCATTGCTTAGCACAGTAAGTTACAATAGAGTAGACCCACTGAATATGTGGGTGTGAGTCAACTCCTCCATGAGTTCCATCAATAGAAATAGGCCTAGTATAGTTTTTACTTCATAGTAAATAACAGACAGGGTAAGCATATTTGAATACTCTCTGACAGCGATGGCGAACCTATGGCACGTGTGCCAGAGCTGGCAGCAGAGCTTTCTCTGTGGACATGCGAGCCATAAGTCGCTGGATCGCTACCCCTGGCAGCCAAACCTGAGGAGGCAGCTGCAGCTGTGGTGTTAGTGCCCCAATGGGCGGTGGACCAGGATCCGGAGCAGCAGGGTTGGGCATGATTGGAGGCAGATCCTAGTGGGGTCTGGAGACACCTCCAGGCCCAGGATTCCTCCTTCTACCATAACTTCCGCTTCCACCCCCGCTGTCCACTGCCTGCTGGGTTGCTGTTGTTTTTTTCTAGTTTGGGCACTCAGGCTCAAAAAGGTTAGCCATCACTGCTCTATGACTTATTATAATAAGTAACAAGATATCAGCTATTGTTTCATGAGAAGCCAGCCCCCTGGTTTCTTTAGTAATTGGCTGACTTGAAACTGGTGATAGCTAAACTGATCAAGCCACTAAATATGCTGAAACATTTCTTGTTCTTTCTAAATAAATGTTATTTGACTCCATTTTAGTAACCATAATATCAACTGTATTTTTCCTGTAGGAATTATGACTGGAGCCTTCTATTCAGTCTCAACTCTACTAAATCAAATGATAGTATTTCATTATGAAGTAAGTTTCTCTAGATTTTGTTGAATGACTTGAAAGCCAAGGACTCCATGTCTTGATCGGTTTGCTTAATCAGACTTAGTGGTGTCATTTTGCTGAGTCAGATTTAGTGTTACCAGTTTGCTTAGGGGTTAAAACAGATGTAACTGCCGATTAGACATGTTAACCATATATTCATGTAGTGTATTGTAGCAGTAGTGGAATAGTAAACAGGAATTAAAAACGTGATCTATGCCATGTCAGTAGGAATGAAACATGGAACTATGGCCTTTGAAAGCATTAATGAATTACAGGTAAGTCCGTTGTCTGGACTCTCAGAACATCTCATGAACAGGCAGCATCTTTTTCTATGCTTTTTTTTAAAAAAACAGTTGCCTTTTAAAAGTGTTTTCATAATGCAGTAGTTTATTAAATACTGTTGAGAGTTTAGAACTGCAAGGGATAAAAATTTAACACTGACAAAGTGTCATGTCTAGCAGTGCAATAAATTGGTACCCTATCTTCTGTTAGTGTTTCTTTCACTGTTTGGGTTGAAGCACCTTCTTAGTCTGCACTGCATATATGAAAGATATGGCAATATTTGTCTTTGATATTTAACTCTAGAAGTAAGGGCTACTTTTTGGTAATAATTGTTGGAATCTGGCTTTTGAGGACAAGAGGTGTGTGTTTATGTGAGATAGTTTGCATATATGTCTCCGTTGTGGTAAGGAGGGCATTCCTTATGGATACTGCCATATCTCTTTTATTCAAAGGGAGAAGAAGTGAAGGCAGGAAGGATTGGTCTGACACTTGTGGTAGCTGGAATGGTGGGCTCAGTTATTTGTGGCTTATGGCTGGATCATACCAAAACATATAAGTAAGTATGTGATTGGGAAAGTAAACATCAATACAACGTACAATATAGTGTTTATGGGGTAAAGCAGGGAATGGACAGCATATGGCTCTCCAGATGTGCTGTTCTGCAGCTCCCATAAGCCCTAACCAGCATAGCTGGTGCTAAGAGATCATGGGAATTGCAATTGAACAATGACTCAAGGGATACCCATTGCTCACTTCCGAGTGGGGAGGGATATTTGGGCTGAGCAACAGCTAATGGTATACAGGAGACTAACATATTCTGTGACTTCTCTTGCACTGAGTATAAATGTGCTGTGATTGGATTTTCAGAAAATAATATATTGGCTCTTGATGTAGTCATGAAGTAAAACAGTTATTCTCATGGGTGAGGTTGGAAAGCTACTATGTAGAATTATAGTGCTCAGTACCTTTCTGTTTCTCTGTAGTAGTATAGGCCAATTGCTAGAGCTCAGTCACTTGTCTGATTCCGATTATTCATTTACATTTCTTAAAGAATAGTGTATGAGGCTGGGAACTTGCACCATGACTGGTCTCTTTTCTCATCACATCTTGTTGTATACAGTGGTGGCTCGCATTATGAGCGCTCCGTTTTACGACAAAATCGCTTTACGTTGAAGGTTTTGCGATCGTAAAACGATGTTTCCTATGGGGGAATTTTGCTTTGCGATGATCGGTACCCTGCTGATTGACGGTTTCAAAATGGCCGCTGGGTAAAAAAACATGGTTCACCGCTCTTTTCTGGGACGGATTCCTCGCTGCACAGGCAGTGAAAATGGCTGCTCTGTGGAGGATCTTCCCTGGATGGTGAGTTTCAAGCCCCTAGGGACGCATTAATTGGGTTTTAATGCGTTTCTATGGGGTTTTTAATTTCGCAAAACGACATTTTCGTTCTACAGCGATTTCACTGGAATGAATTAACGTCGTAATGCGAGGCACCACTGTAGTTGGTTTGTTGCCTTCCAGAAACAGAGCAAGATCCTTTCCCAGTTTTAATGATTTTTCAAGGCTCTCTAAATTGTGGCATATGAAGCTAGGAGCTTGTGTGGCAGCTAAGTGCTCCTCATTCACTGCTCCCACCCTTCTGTTGCACAGAATTTCTTGAAAAAATCCTGGCTTGTGTTGAGACAGAGTTTCCAGTGATAGTCAAGCTGTGGAACTCTCACTTAATGTCATTTAACAACCAGGAAAATAAATCAGATGTATTTTAAGCTGCTGTTCACAGTTCGAATGGAACCAGTAACTCTGACTTAATATAAGAGGAGCCAGAAAAATTGGTTTCGAAGGACAGCTTAATACAGCTATTTAAGAGAGCATTGGTATTTGTTTTCTCTATCCCTATCTAATTTAGTTGCTTCATTTGTTGATTATGATTTTATGATACTGCTTGTGAAGCCCAGAAGTTGGAAAGGAATGTTATATTTAAACACTCAATGTAGACAGTGAAAGTGGTGAATGAGACAAAGATGTGATAGATCATGACAGAATTATATTTGTGTTTACAGTGCAGTGTAGTTTGGTTTGAACTGCAGCCAAAAAAAATGATATGATTTGATCTGTATTTGACAGGGCTGTAGTTCCTTTCATGAACTTTGTATTCTGTTTTTAGGCAGACTACACTGATTGTGTACATCCTGTCATTTGTTGGGATGGTTGTATTTACATTCACTTTGGACTGTGGAAACCTTCTAGTCGTGTTTGTGACTGGTGGAGTGCTTGGGTAAGGCTACTCAACATATGTTAATTAAAATAAATATTTTGATCTTATTATTAAGGTAATATTAAAATAGTATATATTATTATTTTATTTATTTTATTAGATTTATGAGCCCCTATCTAGACCAAAGGTCTACTCTCGATTATTTTATTTATTTTATTAGATTTATAAGCCCCTATCTAGACCAAAGGTCTACTCTGGGCAGTATATCAAATATGTTAAATTGTATTTCATAGTCTATTGAAATGTTACAAATGTTCTGATGTTAGATACATTTTCTTAAGCATGAGTTCTTTAATATAAATATGATTATGAAATGTAAAGTACACTAGTTCAGCATTATTCTAGAATAATAAATACTGTGGAGTTGCTGCTTTTGGTGCAAGATCTTTAACAGCTCTTAGTAATTTCAAGTTTGAACTTCTATGACAGTTTCTTCATGACTGGTTACCTCCCTCTTGGTTTTGAATTTGCGGTGGAAATAACATACCCAGAGTCAGAAGGCACCTCATCAGGGCTTCTGAATGCTTCAGCACAGGTAATGAGGAATGCTTTCTAAAACTTATCTACTGAAAAAAATACCATTAAATTCTAAATTTGTGTAACTCTTGTTTGTAATAAAGCAAAATATATCTAGTGCTTCAAAATCTTTTGGGTGCAGTGCTTGATTCAGCTAGTTTAACCAGAGAAAGAATCTTTTTTTCTCTGTTTTTTCCCTAATACAATGGTGCCTCGCTTGACTACATTAATTCGTTCCAGTGAAATCGCTGTAGAGCGAAAACGTTGTCAAATGAATTTAAAAAAAAACCCATTGAAAGACATTGAAAACCATTCAATGCATTCCAATGGGCTGAATACCTGCTCGTCCAGCAAAGATCCTCCATACAGCGGCCATTTTCGGTGCCTGTAAAGCGAGGAATCCATCCTAGAAAACAGCAGGGGGCCATTTTCTTCGGCGACGGCCATTTTGAAACCCAACGATCAGCTGTTTGCTGATCATTGTAAAGCGAAAATCGGTTCCCGAAGCAGGGAACCGATCATCGCACAGTGAAAAAAGCCCATTTAAAACATCGTTTTGCAATCACAAAAGCGATCGCGAAAACGTCAACGTAAAGCAGATTCGTCATAGAGCAGGGTAATCGTCCAGTGGGGCACAACTGTACATACACTGAGACACACTTAGCTTGCAGTATGTCTGCTGAAACAATTTGGAAGCCTCTCTGTGTGTGTGTGTGTGTGTCAGAGGGTGTTGTATGAACACAATCTGTGTCAAATTTGGTAATGCAGTGTTGCTGGAATCAATTGGGTACTCTGTCATAGATATTACCAGTTTATTCTAGCTTTCCTGTTCATGTGCACCTACCTTATTTTGTTTTGAATGCAAGTTGTCTATTCACTCAGCTATTTTCCCAGTGATATTTTAATAAGATTGCGGAGCTTGTTTACTTTTGCGGGATTTCACAAAAACTTGATAAATAGCAAGGAGTAGCTATTTTGATATTGGATACTGCAGTTGTTGTGCTTGTAGGTAGTATACTAATTGACAGACACAACACTGTTTCTTTAAAACTTTTCAGAAACTTAGATCAACAGCCCAAATGGTTCTCAGCATGTGTTTATACAGGATCAGTTGAAAACAATAAGACAGATCTTGCTGATCTTGTCATCTTAAGAAAATAGCCTAAAGAGAAAAAAGGGGAAGAAGCAACTGTGCAAACCCAGGCATCAGATCGTAGAACTGGAAAGATCTTATAATGGCCAGTTTGAATTTTAAAAAGGGCAGAGGAAGAAACCAAATAGCATTTGTCTCTTAGGAGAGCCACCAGAAAAATACTACAGCACCATGCAAGTTGCATATGTGATAAGCTCTATTTTTGATGTTCTAAATGGGAAAATCTAAAATGTCGTCTTATGATCAATTTACAGATATTTGGTGTCATCTTTACTCTGATCCAAGGGAAGCTTATAACAGTTTACAATCCCCAGGCAGGAAACATTTTTCTCTTTGTGTGGATGTTTATAGGCATAATTTTAACAGGTAACCAGTTAGTTTCTTTTCTCTCTGTAACCATGTCAAAGCAAAAACTTATAGTTGATGCTGTAGTCCCAAAGTGAGAATAGCTCACAATCCCCCTTGTACACCTTCAGAACATGGGTATACCCACTGCATAAGTAGGTGGTACACTGTCATGACTGTAGAGGAGCTTTGCTATTCTGACTAAATGTAGTTTAAATATTTTAGATTTCAGTATCCATCATTTACATAATGCTCTGGAAGTAATATAGAAAATAATGGTTAAAATCATACTGGCGGAGGCAATCTAGTGGCAATTTTTACTAATAAAGGCTCCCTGCTGCACAACCAAAGACTTTTCCATGGCAAAAGGGAGCCCTAGGGAGCCTTGGAACCTGAAAGGGGATGAGGATAGGAAACTTTCTCTGAGTTTAATTTAAATGTTTCCAGTACTTGATCTAGGCTATGCCAGTGTAAAGTTATATAATGAGAATTAGCCTAATGTTTATAATTTAAATAGGTAGGAAAGCTTGAAATGCATTTTGGTTGTGGAGTCATTTGAATTTTGAAGAATATGGATGTCTGACCCATGTTACTTCTGTTATGCTCCTTCTCTTTATTATTTTAGTCATCTGAAAGTTACAGAGAATACAGAATAATTTAAATACTTAAAACCCTGGTTCTTACATTATCTTTTGGTGTCCAAGACCAAAAGACATCTGAAATGTCCCTGAAAAACATTGTTTTTACATTGAGGAGAACCACTAGTGAGGGAACTAACATAAAGCTTGAAGACAGGTAGTCATGCTGGTCTCTTGTTTCAAAAAACAGTGTCTTGTAAGGATTAGTAAATTTATCCTACAAAAACATTCACTGCAGCAACTATTATAATTTATATTTTTAACTTTCTTTCAGCTTTAATCAAATCTGATTTACGAAGGCACAATGTGAATTCAGGGATAAGTGTTGACATTAAATCTGTAAGTAGTTCTAATCTTTTAATTTGCTTGCTTGATTAGCCACTAATTCCTGCCACTTGATATAAGACTATTAATGTTATTATAGTGCTGGTTGCTTCAAGTAACTAATTGCATTTGCCATTATTTAATGAAGATTTTGGCAGAATGTGTGGAGGACAATACAAGTCTAAAATTGTAAGGCAGAGCAATACAATCTCTGAATCATCTTTCACCCACATCTTCTTATAAATATCTTGTTATACATTTATGAAATGAATAGGTCATAGATTAATCCTTACTTTGTTTCCCGTGACCATCATTTGCATATGGACACAGTGTTATGCATGCTTACTTGGGAGTAAGTCTCAATTATATAATTGCACTGAAATGTATAACACTCTGCGGGTAATTTGAAGCCCACTCCCTATTGCTGAATTGTATGTCTCACTGTCTGTTGCCCTTAGCTGTGGTAAGGTTGATGGGAACTGAAGGCTAATAATACCTGGAGGGCCATATGTCATCTAGGTAAAGGTAAAGGTTCCCCTTGACATTTAGTTCAGTTGTGTCTGACTCTAGGGGGCAGTGCTCATCCCTGTTTCCAAGCCGTAGAGCCAACGTTTGTCCATAGACAGTTTCTGTGGTCACATGGCCAGTGCGACTAGATGCAGAACGCCGTTACCTTCCCACTGTGGTGGTACCTACTTATCTACTTGCATTTTTACATGCTTTCATACTGCTAGGTTGGCAGGAGCTGGGACGAGCAATGGGAGCTCACTCTGTCGCGTGGATTCGATCTTACAACTGCTGGTCTTTCAACCTTGCAGCACAGAGACTTCTGCGGTTTAACTCACAGCACCACCACATCCCATATGTTGTGTACTCTATATCTAACAGCTTGAACTGGCATATGGGTCTATATAAATGTTAAACTTTGCCTAGAAACTGACTCTTGCACAGGCCCATTGAACTCAAGTGGGATTAGCCATATTTTGGAAATACACAGGAGGGAATTGTAGCATTTCTTTCTTATAGGTTATGCTTCTGATAGATATACAAAATACCAGGAAGGAGTAGTGTTTTAGCATCTTTATCAGTGGAGAATAATCTGTAAAGCAATCAGAATATAAAATAAACATACACATAGTTTAAAAAATTAGGAAAAAGCTGTGTGATCCTTAAAATTACACAGATGCAAGAGTGATACCTTTATTAGATCACTAAAAAAATTTTAAAAAGCAACCTTTTGTGGGTCAAGTCCACTTCTTCAGGCCATAGTGCAGAAAAATTACATATGGGAATCTCAAAAATTCATGGCAGGTAACTGTGCTAAGTCTACGACTCAGAGGTAAGTTCGGGAGGAGAAAAGCCAACAGAGAAAGTAGCAGCCTCCATCAAAGAGCTGGGGTCAAAATGTGGTGTATTCACCAGACAGGAGAAGCCAATTAAAGCCAAATTAGCAGTGTTACCTGGTGAACCTAAGCAGATGTTTTCCCCAGTCCCTCGGGAAAATAGGTACTTTTTGTTTCGAAACTGGGCAATATGAGTGCGAGAGGCACCCTGCAGTTTGACAGCTCATTGTTTGGACAACTGGGGGAAAATTCCAGCCAAATGCTAAAGGTGTGAATCTTGAAACCACATTGCCCCAAAGGTTGTTTGCAGTCAGCATTTGAACTCATGTCTGAGAAGCGGGCTTGTCACATCTACCTGCCATGAATTTTTGGGACTCTAATTTGTAATTTTTCTGAACTGTGGCCTGAAGAAGTAGCCTTATCCCATGAAAGCTTGCTGCTTGTTCAGTTGTTTCACTGATCTAATAAAGATATCACCTACACATACATACATACATACATACATACATACATACATACATACATACATACATACATACATACATACATACATACATACATACATACATACATAGTCAGATATCCAAGTATTTTAAACAAACTACAATATCTGAGTAATTGGAAAACTCTCAGATTAATTCATCACACTTTAAAATACAATGTTTCTCTCTTATTTTGAACCTGTAGTAGTATTTCTAAGTGTAATTCACAAAGTTTCTGTGTGTGACAAACAAATGAATCAAAGATATGAATAGTTTTGTTATTTATCTCCATTCTTTAGTTCCACGTTGCTGATGTCAGAAGTCTATTTTCACAAAGTTACTTCTCTAAAATGATGGTCACATGTCTAACTTTTAGAGCCTTTGAAATGTTTTGAATTACCTTCAAGGGTGATCTAATCAGGAATTGATTGACTCATCGAGTGATAGAATTATAGAACTGGTAGGAAGTGCTTCACACTAGTGACATGGTATATAATCAAACAAACAAATAAACAAGGGTAATCAAGCCCAGCTCCCTGGAGAAGCAGGAAATCCACCAGCAACATAACTCTGACAGGTGGCCATAAGCCTCCGCTTATAATCCACTCTCACCTGAGACTGTTCATTCCATCGTTGAACAGCTCTTACTGTTGGGCAGTTCTTCCTAATGTTAAAATTGCATATCTTGTAATTTGGATCTGATACTTTGAGTTGTATACTTGGGCTGAACAAAATAAGCTTGCTCCATCTAACAGTCATCAGTTTCTAAACCATATTTATTTCCTCACAGATACCAGTTGACTCTTCTGCAGAAGATGAACAGAGTAAAACTGCACCAAAATGTCAGTCTGAAACAAAAATTTAGAAGAGAAATGCTAACAGTGTGGAACAGTCAAGTTATATCAAGCACAGAACCAACTCATCTATATGCCTGAATGTAATAGAACTGAGTGTTACCAGTGGTAATTATGCAGTATAGTTTGCATTTGGATGTACATATTGTGCTGAGGATACATTTTCATTTTCCATTGATTATTTTTAATGGCCATTTTGTTGACATTGTCATGATATCCCATTTTGAAAAGCACATACAGTGAAGCAACTGGAATGCTCCAGCAAGTGACAGATAATTAAAAACAGCCACAACAAATTAATCCATACACTAATATTTACATGAAATGTGTGCACAGAACATATTTAAGCATAGTTGAATGGGTATTCTTTTTAGCATAGGATGGTTTTTAACTTTTTAATTGTAAATATGTTGCAAATTTTAAACTCTCCTTTCTCCAGGAGGGACGTACAGTATAAGAAATTCAGATTTGAATTGGTTATACTGTAAATTCTATTTGCCATTTCTGTTGGCCTTGGAAGATTTATGATTTTATGTCCAAATACAGATGAAGGAACTTCTTAAATGAACATTTCTTTGAAATAATGTTCCAGACTTTTAAAGGCAAAGACTTTTCAGATTTATGGGCTGAAACTCCTAGACCCTTATTCATCTTATTTTTCCTTTGCATTCCAAAAATGCATAGAATATATATATATATGGGGGGGGGAGGGAGAGAGAGAGAGTCAGTAACACTTAATGTAGGGATGGATTTGGGGCAGATAAATAGAGACAGGAGCCCACCATGAACTCTGTCAAGTGTTTCACCTGGTCTGGCACATTGCATAGGTTTAAAGAATCATGTAGCAAAAGAATGTGGCCTCATTCTAAGGCTTAATATCTGTTCCCTTATGCTGTTACGAGAATATACCTGTACATGTGTTCAGTTTTTGCTGATTGAGTGGAAATTTGTCAGTTCTGGTATGTTTGAGAAATGTTAACAATATGTTCTGTCGTATCCTTTAATACCTTGTCTGGGGAATAGCTGTTAAATCTTTCTGTTTTAAAGGAACAATCAGAGTGAAATGTTTGCTGCTTTGTCTGAGCCACTGGATGCTGCTGTTCTTGATTCTCAAATAAATAAGGGCCTTTTCAATAACTTTTCTTAAAAATGTTGACATGAGGAACAAAAGTTTTTTGTCTTGTGAAAGCTCCTGATGTGATTATTTGATTGTTTGGCCAGAATTCTAGTGATTACTTAATTACTAATTAATGCTTACATCGGGTAAATTGCAAGTCTTGGTAGTAAAGTGTCACCTATTAATGAGGTGGTTTTAATGTCTGTATGTACATGTGCAATCAGGCATGTGATCAGGAATGCGATTGAGATCTCATTAATGATCATAAATTTGTCATCAAGACTTCCATGATTTTTCTTATGCAAGCATAAATTGGCAACTGAATTCTGGCTTACATGTATATTTATTCCACATTAGCTTATCACAGGTTTAAGGTAAAAGCTAAATCCTTTTTCCAAAAAGAGTCTTTTGTTTGTACTGGTATGCTGAAATGCTTCTCCTCTCTTTCTTTTGGAGATATTACTTGTTGCACAGCTGCCTCCTCCTTCCATGACCACAGTGAAAAAAAGGAAAGCTAATTTTATCTTGTCATATTAGTACTCATTTTAACAAGACCTCATTTTATTAGCAATTTGTGTTAAAAATACAGTATATGAATAACAGATGCAAATTATTTACTGGAACATTTTTATTAATAATAATGATTAGGCTATTTTGAAAGCTTGTTCTGAAGCCATTTGGGTGGGTTATTCTTCAGTGATAATCCAGTATGCTGGATGCCTGGACTATACTACCAGTAGCTCAAGGTTGGATTGGACAGGCATTCTGAAGAAGGTACCTTTCTACATGTAACTGGTATTCTTGATCCAGCCATTGTGTCTTCTTTCCCTGCTGTGCATTTCTGAGCATGTTAATGTTTGGTTAGGAGTTGAATAGGAAGGTATTTGTCCTGCACCTCAAAGCATGTGCAGAGGCAGCAGGTTTGTTTGCTCAGTTTTAGAACAGAAGTGAGCCCAAGATTAATGCTCTAGAAGGTTCTGTAGGTGATTTTTCAGGTGATTTATAGCATATGATCCACATTTTTAAAGCTTTTCTTGTTATATCATACTTTTCTGATCTTAAATTTGTCACATCACCTAATTTTTTTAAGAATCCTAGTGCTCAGCTTCTGCTGTATTTCTAGTGAATACCTACTAATCTGTTGTCTCCTTTTAATAAGCATTATCTAGTAAGCATATTAATCAGTTAGTAGCTGGACTTCTCTATCTACTGCTGAGTGAAACCAGTTAAAAGCCTTTTCAATATGCATTTGGAAAGGCATGATATTATATTTTAAACATCAGTGTCTCTGAATATTTTTCATAAAAGAGACAACTGGCATCCAGGTTGTGTCAACTTAAATCTTATTCTTTGACCCACTCTATGCCTGCATCTTCACTTTAGCATGGATTTTTAGGTGTTAGAAGAGATTTATTTCCTTTTTCATTTTATAATTTGAAAACCTTAATCCTGCAAGTCCCTTTTTATAACATCACCAGATTCCAAATTATCCTCTGTGCAAAATTCCAAATAAATTTGATGTTACAGGAAGTCTGCTGGGCCTTTGCAAACAAAGCATTCCTGGTAATGACAGCTTAACTCTAGTTCAAAAGCAAGGCTTCCTAGTAGGCCTGTGCATGCTTTTAACAAGAGCTTGAGTTATATTTTGGCAGATTACATCCTGAATACATTAAAATGCAAGATGGAAAAATGTATTGCATAATTAAAATTAATACAAGTTATTGACTTCAAAATGAGGCAGGTAAGTATACCAATGATGCATAATTAGCTATGTATCATTAGTATACTTGGGGTTATTGCGTTGTGAATCACTTAACTCTTAAGAGAATCTACAGAAAAATTTCCTCTGTGGTACAAGCTTATAAGGAAAATTCCTTTTGGAATCTAAAGAGCTGCTTGATCACTTAGAGCAAGATTGCATTTGTCCAGTGGAAGTGTTATTTTTCCATCTCTGTTTCAGATCTCAAGTAGCTTTTGAAACTTCTCTCACTTTCAAAGTCAATTTGGAATGTTGTGTTGGTTGTCATTTGAAGAAAAATGAGGCGTGAAGCATTCCTAGGCTTGCATAACTACTTTCATGGTCTTTTGGTCCCTTTGTAGGTACTGAATCCTCTGTAAGTTTTTTGCATTGGAAGATTCATTATTTTATTAATGACTGTGCCAGTGTGCACGTATCAGATAAAATTATTTTTAAAACTAGCTCCAGATCTTCTTATTGCATGTATGCACTAGAGGAATGTATGTGGGCTTTGTATCATCCGTTTTTAGGATTTTGTTGGGATTTGCTGAATTCTGCTGAAGTGTGTTGCCGTAGAAGTTTAAATCATTGTTAAATAGCTAAATCATAAACCCTAAACTCAAAATGTTTGCTAGTATATGTAAGAGAGGAAGAATGTAGTTGTATAACATTTTAAGAAAGTTGCCTCAGTTTCATTTTTAAAATCTCCATGTGTCCTCATGGTTACAGCAAACTGTATCTGTCATAATTCTGAATACTTTCAACGTGAAAGTCTTCACATTTGCTCAAGGTGCAAATGCTTTTGTATGTTTGTGTGAAAGAAATACTGTGAATATTGAACTGACTAAATGATACCTCTCTGAAAAGGTGCTTTGATTTCACTAAATTGTTCTGTTGTAAGTACAGTTTATTTGGGAGGAGCTGTGTTCCTATTATTGCTGCCTTTATTTTTTTACCAGGTGTTTTTTTTTACCAATCACAATTAGGTGGCAAGAAGTGGATAATGATGATAATGATTGACTAAAATGAAGTTTTCCCCTAATTTTATAGCTATTTCTGTTAGCTGTCCCATATGGCAATCGTAATTTTTTGCTTGATTTCTTTGATAGTTGTGCATGTCTCACACACCCTCCATAGATAGATAATGATAGTGATTTGGAAAACTATCTATTTTGTAGGAAAGATTAATATACCATAAATGTTGTGAGAAAAAAAAAACTAAACCGTGGCTTTCTGTCTTCATTAACCATTATGGCAACAACTGATGTTTATAAGCATGATGCGGACACCAGAGATTATTAATTCTAGATCTTCTCCTTGTTTCATTTGTTTTGATTCAATAGTGACATGAAGGCTTAGCATAAAAGCCTCTAATTTCTCTATAGTTTCTCTGGACAGTCCTCCTAAATTTTAATTAAGATCTAATGGGGGCAGCTAGGGGCTTCATTCAACGGTAGGGTTGTCCTGTAGTGGGGTTTCTTTAATTCGTTGGTCCATTGAATAGTGTCTATGGGGCTGTTAGAAAGCTCTAGAAATCCATTTTAGGTTTTTTATTAAGCTCCAGCCTTGGATGGGGTGGGGACATCCAGTTTGAGGTACCCTTTGCAGCCACTGCCCGGAGCTGGAACTCCAGCTTTGGAAAAGGGAAGAAGGGGCATGTTGCAGGTATGCCGGTGGGAAAGAATGTGGATCTGCTGGATCCACAACCCTTTGAGCCTTCAGCCACATCTCCAATTTGGGGAGGGGGGTGATCAGGTGGGATTAAGGCCAGTTCTGAATGAATTCCATCCTTTTTTTTTTTTTACTGGAGGGAATTTTATTCAAAATGGAAAAAATACAAAATAAACCCCAATCCTGTAAAGGAGGGGGCCATCAGCTCATGCCCTTCCTTTGTATTTCTACCCTAGTGGCAAAAAGCCCAGGAGGACTTTTGAGTATATAACAGTGTTCCATTGTTAGGAACAATTTTCCCCTTAAGATTGCATCCAGAGACAAACAATTATTTCTGTGATTTTGTAAGAGACTAAAAGTTCTTACGGAGCTGTTGAGACCAAAGGATTACAATGCCCTTGAAACACTGCTGTCCTAGTATGACATTCACAATGGTTTGGATACTTAAGTGCCAGAATAGATATCATAAGTCAACAAGAAGGGAGGATCTTTGTTGTCTTGAATGTATTTGCACTGTAATTCATTTTTGTATTGTTTGTACTTGCCTGTATTGAGGTATCTACTGCTGTATTACTAAATAAACCCCCCATGGAAGCAATGTGTGAATTTGACTGTGTAAACTGTTCCAGAACTCAGATTGTTACAGTTATGCATTTAGATAGATTTTATAGGCATTTCTCAATGGAATTGTATCTCTAGGTTGCTATTCTTACTAATTTTCTAGTACAGCGGTCTCCAACCTTTTTGGGACTGTGGACTGGCTGAACCTCTGAAAAAGGCGCCCCCCCGCAGGTGTGCACAGGTAAGCGCACTCCCTCGGGTGCATGTGCGAAGTGGTGGGGGAGTGCCCGCCTCCCCACCCTTCGTGACTGCGCAGGGGAGCCTGCCCGCCCGCCCATGCGCCCACCCAGCTCTTTGCGCAGGCGCTTGGGCACTCGGGCGCATGCGTGAAGGGATGGGGGAATGTGCGAGCAGATGTGCAGGCACCCCTGAGTGTACGCGAAGGGGTGGGGGAGCACTCACACGGGCTCCGGCACATGTGCAAAGCAGCTGTGGGGAGGGGAGTCCGTGGGGGGGGCAGGAGGTCTGTCTTCATGGCCCGGTCCAGCTCAGGCCCTGGACTGGCACTGGGCCACGGACGGGGGGTTGACAACCTCTGCTGTAGGAGACCTTTTTCAGCAATAGAATTGTCCAGTTGGAGATACAACAATTATGTTTCACTGAATAATTGAATTCTCAGTGCCTCCAAAGACTATGGAATAAGAATACCTGTTGCATTTATCTATAATTTAGAAGATCCAAAAAGAGGCCTGCTGAACTATATAGCATCTTTATGTTTTGGAACAGAAAACTGTTCAAAGGACATACTGGCCACCTATATATTCCTGAGAATGAAATCGTGAATAAAATCCAAATAAAAGATGCATGTTTTTGAGAGTACCTAATACAGATGCCAATTTAACACCTTTTTTGTTTAAACATTTGAAGTTATAAACCTTACACTGATATATTAACATCATGGCTAGAAATTAGTTTGTCATGTGGCAGCTTTAGTCAAGTCATAATGGACCCTAGAAGTAAACTGTGCAAGGAAAAAAAACTGAAAGAAGTGCTAAGAGTATGAATATAAACTTAGAAAGTGTTCCTGAGTAAAATAATTCCTATTGCTCACTAAATCGCACTAGAATAGTCCCAATGTGATTTGGCAAGGCAATTTCTGCAGATATTCCATTGATTTAAATGGGATTACTGGGGGTGTGTGTGCTACTTTAGCATAGTAAATTGTACCTAGAGTGGGCCATGTGCCTCTGTGGAACTTATGGAAGAATTGATTCACCAAATGTCCACTAAGTCAGTGGGCCTACTCAAATGTAACTTATTATGGTAAGCAGCAAGATTTTCAGCTATTGTCTAGTTACAGACATTAGATGGATAGAATGCTGGCCACAGGAATTGTTGAATGTCTTAACGCAATGGAGTTCTGCAACATAAATATGCAAACATTAATATCAGAAGGTACCATCTCCTAGGTTTCCCGCAGGTAGCAATAGTCTATCTCATGCTACATTTACTTCCTTGTTACTTCAGCATGTCAACTTACTTCTTTTTTTCATTCTTTCCTTTAATTCAACATGGCATAAATCTCAGTAAAGGGAGACCTCTGCTGTTACCTTTGAGCAATTACTCAATGCCTTCAAAACGTGTTGATTACAAGTTGTGGCCAGGAAGCCAAGATCCTTGTTGGTAGTAAGCACGTGAGCAAAGTGAGTTGACTTACAAACAATCCATCTCCAGCCAGAAGGACAGTTTAGGTGCTCACAATCTTACAGTCTCTGAATCACTGCTCTGCCAGCAATGACCCTTAGCATTCTACACATGGCAAACTGGGCAGAATACAAAGAGGAACAATAAAGAAACACAAATCTGGCATCAGAAACGGCACCACACAAAGCTCAGGATCAGGACCCTCTAATCTCCCAAGACACTGGCACTGATTGCAAATTAGGTTTAGAACAGTTTGAATTAGAAATGAAGATTTCAAAGCATATGGCATTTATATTAACAGACTGTTTATTTGCAGCAGCTTTGTATATACCATAAATTATTTTTCCCAAAGGACTATGACATGCAGTAGGCTACTTCTTGATAAAACTAAAAACTAGAGCTTGGGAAACATTACTTTTTGGACTACATTTCCCAGAATCCCTCAGCTGCTCGTTTGAGGAATTCTGGGGGTTGTAGTCCAAAAAGTAATATTCCCAAGCTCTGGCTAAAATTAATAATCTCTTGAAAGCAAAAAACTGGCTTGTGCAATTACTTTCCTATTATCAGGTTATTTGTGCTAAGCTTTGAACATGTATGATAAGTATTAATAACATAATTGTCATTTTGTCCCACCTTCCCACTTCATAACCATAACAATTTTTAAATAAACTTGCTTGAGTTCTGTGCTCTGTGCATACAAAGAAGGGGGTAGTAATTCTTGGAAGCTAATGCCACAAAGCTTCTGTTTGTGTTAAAATACTATACAACACTTTTAATTTTGCTTTGTTATGAAGAAGCATGACACAGCTGTTTCCTTTGAAGACTGAGCAAGGTTGAGGATTCTTTCAAAAACCACAAAGCATAACAAAATAATAATAATGGCTGTAAATAAAGTATTTGCATACAACGTGGATTTGATTCCTTTGAGATGTGGTACAGGAGGAGAATTTTGCAGATGCCCTAGAATGCTAGAAAAAAAAATAACAAGTGGCTGAAATCACAAATGCATAAATCAAGTCTGAACTTTCTCTGGAAGCAAAAATGAGGCTGTGATATAAATAGATAAATAGATAAATAAAATAAATGCCCTAGAATGCTAGAAAAAAATCACAAATGCATAAATCAAGTCTGAACTTTCTCTGGAAGCAAAAATGAGGCTGTGATGCAATGCATAAATCAAGTCTGAACTTTCTCTGGAAGCAAAAATGATGACATTGAGGCTGTGATAATTTAGACACATCATGAGAAGACAAGAGTCACTGAAAAAAAACACCCAATAATGCTAGGAGAAGTTGAAACATGAGAAGACAAGAGTCACTGAAAAAAAAACCCAATAATGCTAGGAGAAGTTGAAGGCAGCAGGAAAAATGGAATACAAAATATGAGATGAATTGACTCCCTAAAAGAAGCCACAGTGTTGAGTTTGCAAGAGCTGAAAAGGTCTGTTGAGGACTGGACATTTTAGTGTTCAGGGGATAGAAGAGTTATGCAACAGAATAGCTATGTATGGAAAGATACGTATTATGTTACACTGAAACCCTCTTTGTCATTACAAATATCTACATGCTTCCACTTTCCCCAGGACACACCACAAAATCTATGTATTGTCTACAGCCAAGTTCTCTGCTACAATGACATCTTCTCAGATCCATGGGACGAAAGCTCAACATTCATGGTTTTACTGTAGGCATTTCTTAGATTACAGTATCTTCCTAGTATTGTTTCTCCCTGGGGGAAAAATTGCTCTGTGACAGAACAATTGTACTATTGCTCATCTGCCTAATTTTTACTCTGAGTTGAAAGTGCCTTCTAGAATTCTCAGCAAAAGTGCCACTGCTCTGGAGAGTGCAGGCTCTCTTGTGTATCTTCGGCTTCCCAAAGCAAGTGGATTGTGGATAATTCAAAATTTTGCAGGCACAAAGCCAATCAGACATGTCCATTCTAGCTCCAGCCTTTGTAGAAGAAGACAGAAGTAAATTAAATCATTTCCTTTCAGAGATGAAGCTGCTTGGCATGGAATTAACATATTTTTTTCAAAATCAGAGGGTGCTTTGATAAAGGAAGGCACTGTCATTCTGGGTATCATTTCTGATATGCAGCATCAATAGCCAGGTTCTGAATAACAAATACCAGATCTGACCTTATAAATGATACTCGTTGGCAAGCTGATTTTGGACAGGTTTAGCGTTTCCCAGATGCTTCATACTGAGGCAAAAGAAAAAGGAAGGATTCAGGCAGCAGGTGGCAGTGTTTCTTTGTAACAACTTCTGCAGTTAATCCAGAGATGGTGCTGTATTCACTGTCCACAGAATTTTCCACCCCCAGAGTTTGAAACATTATTTTTTTTGGACAAGTCCCAGAATCTCCCATCAACATGACACAAGGAAATCTGGGGTGTTGTGGTCCCTGCAGTGAGCTCTGAAGCATGAGTACAGTCCTGTGGTTCCTGCATCAAGCCCCAAGCAGAAAGCAAACTTGCAGTAAACCAAGTGTACATGTATCTGTTGTAAGACATCTGTTGGCTAGCAATTCAGATTGATTACAACTTCCGTCGTTTATAAAAAGATCTGCCCATACCCTTCCCTGCCAGTTTGAGTTTCAGCAGCAGCAACACTGTTACAGCAAGCAAGCTTTAGAATTCTGACTCACTTTACCATCCGGCACACACATTAATAGCTGGGTCAAATTAAGTGAATGTTTACAAAATGCTTTGAGAGCAAAGCGTGGTGATGAAAGGTTTTTTGCTGAACATTCACTTGTTCAGTCAACTTTCGCCTTAATGAGGAGGGGGTAGATCAGATGGGAAGCAGCAGGTGAAATTTAGCCATCGCAGACTGGAAGTTGAATGCACGAGTCAAGAGCCTGGACATGCCGACATGCCAATTAAGTCCATATTTACCTCTCATTGAACCAATTACAAAACACCTTACTACTCCCTATACCACACCATGGCTGGAGTGCAATGTGTTCCAGAAAAAATAATGCACATCTTTATCAAATTTGGTGCATCCTGCTAGTTCGGTACACAGCCTGTGTAGATTCAATAATATTTTTAATTCAAATAATGTATGATTTCCTTCCTTTCGAATCAAGGGGGTAATGTTGGCACATATAAATTTTTGGGGGGTAAAAGGTAAAAAAGTTCCCTGACCCCTGCACTATACATAAGCATGGTATCTGGCTCCCTCTTGTAGATTGTTTTAGGAACTTCATATTTAGATATTTGGGATTCTTCTTTTAATATGCCTAATATTTTCACACCGTGGATAAGTGTATCAGCAGATACTGATCCCTTGGATAAGGGGGTCCTACTGTAGTACTTTTGCT